AAAGAGGTGGCGGTGGAGAACCCTTTGCCCAGGGGGTGACACACACACACACACACCATCCCCGCGAGGGTCACGTTGTGCATGGATCTTCCGCCTAGCCCGCCAACTCCGACTGAGAGCGGCAACATGAAAAGAAGCCGCGCATCGTAAGGATCTTCTGCGCGTGCCCCGCGTCGTCGCGTCGTAGGAGTAGATATTTACATATTGTGCAAGCTCTTTACACATGCAAAACAACCGGCGCAGATATATATATATATATATATAGCAAACACAATTGTACACATACTTTCCAGCGAACCTTTTACACATACGAGATCACCAACAGAAAATCTGGTGCACTTCTACAGAGGCAAGATCACCAGCGAGGTGAGATAACCGTGCACCTCACCTGTGCACGATGCATAGGTGAAAATGTCCATGTGTCCTTCCATTATGCAAAATGCACTACAGAGGCAAGATCACCAGCGAGGTGAGATAACCGTGCACCTCACCTGTGCACGATGCATAGGTGAAAATGTCCATGTGTCCTTCCATTATGCAAAATGCAAAGCAAACCTGGCCAGCAGGTGTGCTTCTACATATGCAAAGGTTGGTGAGTGTGTCACACATAGAAGTAGCAATGTACAAAAAGCACCCCTCTCACCAATCAACTGAGGGTTTAGGGTTCGCACATGTTCTAGTGTTACTTGCATGGAATTGCTGAGAACCTGATTTACTGATGATAGCTGAGCCCTGAATGTTCAGTGAAAGTGTCCTGGTACAAAATCTGCGTCACGCGATCGCCAAAGCCAATGTTCAAGCCTGAAACATCTGAAACACCCTATGTATCCTAATGTCCTTTTGCATGTTATTTGCAGGGAATTTCAGCGCCCCCTCAGAAGGGAGGGCAACCCATGCGTCCAGGGCGCATGGTTTAGGGTACCAAGGAGCCCTTCGCAGTACCCGTTGGGCCAAAAAGCTCTGAATTGTTAGGACTACACCCTGGACGATGATTAACACAGAACATGAAAACCACAGGGTTGTGATTAAAGGAACATTGTCTTCCAACGGTCCATTCTCAGGTTCCATGTTTCTCTTTCAGGGCGTACGTCTTCGACCAACCATTTCGCGCCCGCAAAAATTCCACGCCAGTGCACCCTGGCCACGCACACCGAATGCCGCCAACGCCACATGCTGATCCGCAAGGCTCGTCATCAACTGCATGTGGATGCCCTTTGCGCAAATGTCTTTAGGATTTGTTCGCGTTCGAGACGAGCTTGAAAGGACCCTTGCAGACGAGCTTGGCTGCACACGGGATCCAAGGACCCGAAGGCACCAAGCAAACCTGGGACACTTGGAGAAGCCAAACTCGCAGAAACTGGATAAAGCTAATATACAGTACACATAAAAACATCATAAAAACATCATAACAAATACCATAAAATACCATAAGCCCACAGGCTTTTTGGCTTCCATCGATCGGTCAAGAATGAGCTTGGCAGGGTCCCGAACTGGTTCGGAGTTGACTGGTTCTCATGTTTCATCCATCGAACCCCACAGCATAACACCGCCATCTTTACTGACCATCTTCCTGTCAAACGCGGAAAGTCACTCAACGTCTTGGACTCCTACAATCAACTTTAGTAAACATAGGAGGTGGAGGACGTGTTTTGTTGGTGGAGCCCATCGCTGCTAGGTTGGAGGCCGTTGCTATTCTTTTCGGCCGTTTCAGTCCCAAAAGGCCGAATCCCAACGTTTCCGGCGCGAAGGCATGGCCCCCATTGCTTCGGGTGTCGAGAGGCATGAACATGGGCCACCACATGGTAACCCACCACAATGTAGTCACAAACAATCGCACGACGGCCCTTGTTTCGGCCGGATCCCGCCAAATGAGCGCAGGAATGCGCTTGAGCCAGCCCGGCAGCGGAAGAAAGAACGGTCGCGAGCGAAGCCTTCATGTGCATGTTGCCCCCAACACACCCCCTCAACCGACCACCTCTTTCACTGGCAGATCTCGACAAGAGCTTTGGTCAATCAACAACCCCATACAGCCCATACGCTTCCACCGCTTCCAGTATCCTCTGTTCAGTGCCAGAGATCAAAGAAGAGAGAGAAAACGAAGGTCGACTGCAGGTGAACACCAGCATCGGCAGCTCGTGCTTCTCGACAGCTACGCGTTGGTCCGGACGAGAGGACCAACCAGGTACAGGGAGTTTGGTGTCAACTGATTGGGCCTTGAATAAATTCTTGCAAAGCATCCTGTCCAAAGACACATTTCACCAGGCAGGCCACTGGGCCAGCGTCTTTTTCGGGGGTGGTCGTTTGCCGAAGTGAGTCTAGCCTATATACGTTCTCCATGTGCTTTTCAACCTGGATGCACCCGCGCCACTCGTTTTGGTCCAGACCACACAGGCGACCAGAAGCTTTTGGAAGTGACCAGCCGGCGCGCAGCATGGCTCAGCTCATCATTTTGCTGAAGAGTGCTTTCCTCAGTCACCGTGGCATCTCATTATATAAAAGTCAATCATGGAAGGCTCACATGGTGATGACTTTCACTGCGTCCCGCTTGAAAACCTCAACTACTCAATCCACTGCTGACTGATCCCAATGGAGGTGGTACAGGATGCCTTTCAGCAATAATAGGTCCACAGGTCATTCACTACCAGTCAAAACCTGCGCTCTTCCTCCACACAGGATTCATAGACGTACAAAGATGTACATGATATGCAACAACAAGATCAATGGCAAAGATCGGACCATGAAACATCTCAAGGCTCTCCTTCTTCTTGGCTTCCTTGTCCAGCTGATCCGCCAACGACTTCAGTTTCCTCAGGGATCGTCGGTCTCGAGACGATGTCGACTGAGATGCCGTGGATCCCCAAGGTGCGGTGCTCGCATCTGGGAGAACATGTGTTATTCAATGGAAAGGGTCCCTTTAGATGGGGGTCCACACGGTCCAATAATGAGACACATTTTGGGGGGATTGTGCCATCTACTCTGAAATCACTGTTATAGCCTGAATCCCGAACAAGCAGCGTTTATACCACGTATGTATGAGCACGAGCACTCAAAGGAGACAACAAACAAGCAAACTGGAGCCGAAGGCAACAGGAAGGCTCAGCTGACACTAGAAGAGGTTTGCAAGCAGCTAAGAGCATTCACCAAGCTGTAACTGTAACACCTTTGTTGGTTGCACACCACCGTATGTATGTTTAAGTGGGCAAGTGATGGACCGGCATGATTTTTCATGGCTCATATTAAGCAAAAAATGTGTTCAGTTCCGAACAGCTCAGAATAAAAAGGAAGTTAAGATTTGAAACACCAACACTAGATATCACTCGTATATAGGCTCTTCAAACTTCAAACTTCTCTTGCTTCTTGGGCCGAGCCGCGCGGCCTCCCGCGGTGCCGTGGCCGCCAGCCGTGCGGCGGTCTCGGCGGCGGCCGAGGCCTCCCCAAGCGCCAGGAGGGCCTGGCCGCGACGGAAGAGCGCTTTGGCCTTAGGGAAGCGGAGGGCTCTCGGCGGCCTTAGCCGAAGGGAGGGAAGTGGATGGACAAACCGCAGAATGGACTTTTTGGAGGTGACCCTGGTGGCCCATCCATCACAAAATGGAGGGAGATGAGACGAGTTGGGTGTGGCAGGAGCAGGAGGTTGATTGGGGGGAAGAAGTCCTGGTGAGGCTTCGAGCCTGCGAAGCCACAGAAACGATCCTCAGTGACCTGGTATGCTGTCGGCTGCTCTGTAATTGTTGGCTTTGCTGAGGCAAACTCTTGCACTACCAGTGCCTAGCAATGCCGCAGTGTGCATCATACTTTCATGCTTTCTATTGGGCTCCCTCTCCGGGAAGCTCCTTTGAAGCTCCAAGATGCTCCAAGGTCCTTTGAGCTGCCCGCAGTTGGAACCCAATTCTAGGCACACCAACAGCGCCAACAGCGCCATGGAACGGACGACCAGTTCTGCGACACCGTCGTCGAACGGTTAATTCTCCAAACGGATCACATGGTGCTCATCGAAGCGTAAGGCTTTCTCCGCATACTCCAGCGCCTCTTGAGGCTCATCCATCTTCCTTGGAACCCAGCGCATTGCTCCGCCGGTGTCGGTGCCGGTGGTTCCGGCTGCAAGGAGAGCCAGGCCACATGCATATAAAGGAAAAGCCTCAGGCCTTTACGATCACCTTCTGAAGGAAGGTTGCCCCATGTTGCCCCCAAAAATGCATCTGACGCATCCAAGCAGTCCGGACCATGTGCACAAGGATGCGTTCTGAATGATGCTTGATAATCTGATATTCTCGAGTCCTCTCCACACAGCACGGCGCTTGATCTGTAGCATCGCGCACCCTGTGTGGACACATCGCGCGTGCTGTGCGCGTGAATGTTCCAGAAAGCTCTGAACAATGAAGCTGTTTTGAAATTCCCCTCTTTAGGCATGTATGAAATTTGGGCATCTCCACCCTTGTGCTCTACTTGGATGGACTCTCAGGAAAAACATGAGCAGTCTCGTGTCTTCACTATTGAACATCTGCTCTTACATGCGGGATCGTGCGGGTAATTGTATGGCCGAGGTGGATGCTTAAAGAACCCCCATGCATGGTAAGTCCTGTCTCCATGTGGAAGATCTACGGAAGATGTATGAATCTGTATGAGTCAACTGCCTGCACCCTACAGCATTAGCGTTGGTTGACATCAAAAAGAAAGCTTGACTCATCTTCAGCAAGGCACAGCATGGTGGCCGCCAGGTTACTGAAGAGCGTCACTGCAAGGGCCATGTCCTGGCGCGATGGGTCCACGCGACAGGTCCACGCGGGTCGGAAAAAAACCATACCAAGCCGTAATAGCCTTTGTTATAATCCTTCTCATCCAACGAGCCCGGCGTTCAAAGTTGAATAATGTGTTTTTTTTTAAACGACCCGGAACAGGATCCTTGAGTTCAGATGGGCCCTTGGAACATGCGAAATCATCAGCGCATCAGAAGCGGCACAAAGCCAGGAACTGGAGCCAAAGAGCTTGCCAATTCTGTTGCCCCAAGAGTTTACCTAAACCATCCTAAACCCAAAGAGTCTGTCACCAACTTTGGGATTGCTGTTCTCTGTTACGTTGGTCCGTTGGTATGCTACTTGAGGATCAAATCTGTTATTTTAGTGGGATTCAATATGTGATGATATTTGTCAACTATGTGATGCTACTTGTCAGTTCCTTGATCTTCCAGCTTAGTGGTCAAGCCGTGCATCATTAGGGAGTAGAAAACCCAACTCGGACATGCTTCCTCCCACTGTCCCACTGTCCCGGTTCGTAGCACAGCACTTTCTGTGCAGTGCGGTAGAATGATCTTAATTGCTCTCCATCTCCCACAAGTGGTGGGTCGCCCAAGGTTCCTTGCCTGACCCCCAAACCTGAGGGACAGGAACCTGTTCTCGCAACCTTGCCTATTACACAGGATGTCAACACAAGCTGAGACCCCGTTCAAGCTGGTGTAAGAATGAGTTGCTTGAAGGTGCTTGAATCATGTCTTCGGACCAAACTGGCTAGTCTTGCACAGGGCAAGCAAAGCGGACCAAGCAAAACATCAGAGTTCCGAAAAGTACTTCTGCTCCACCAAAAGAATATGACGCCAAGCTCAAGCCCAGGACCTGATTGAGGCGTTCTTCTCCACCATGGTCGAAACCGGGTTTGGGCTGCATCTCAGAAGTATGAGGTACATACTCCTCAGCATCATCAGCACCCAACAGCTGACTGTACAGCACCCCTTGAACACACTTTGACTGTGACTGCCTGCTTTGAAGCGGCGAACAGCCAGCCTTCAGCCATGCCCAAATGAGGTAACCACACAATTCGCAAAATTTAAATACATTCCCCTTTGTGCCGATGGGACTCCCTCTTGTAGAACATACTCCCAGCTGCACACTGGAACCCCTGCAGGTGACCACATGTATAGTGACTATGGCGGAATCCCAAATTACAGTAGGAGTACATTGTGCAAATCCCAAGGGGTTGTAAACACTGAAATACGCTATTGCAACCAGCTTGCACCAAGTGCGCCGTATAGGGTTTGTGTCACCTCCTCGAGTCACCCTATATATTTATTCTGGCTTTGAAACAGAAACGAGAAGAATCTGTAGCCCATTCTGTTCTCCTCATGCCTGTTTGACAACCCTTTCAGTGAAAAGAATGCAGTTAGAATTCAGCGCTCCATGTTCCTTGCCTTGACAGCCTTCAACCATACTAGTCCTGCCTGTAGCAT